TTACCGTTCAGTGTTATTTACCCCCCCAACCCTTATCTAGACTCAAGAGTTTATAGAAATATGTACGAGGTAAATTAATTACAGACATGCCTTCCCTATACGTTACTGATATAAATATATGCAGTGTGTTTGCAAGTCTAGTTTAAAGGGAAGGTTTCGGAATGTCCTTGAGTCCTGTTCCAGGGCCTTATTCTCAGGGATCCAGGAAAGAAAGGAACCCAAGTTTTTAGGTTTTCCAACACCCTTGCACTTTTTCTTTGGAAATTCCTAACAGAGATTTTGCACTATTTTTGCAAACATCTATTTCGGGATAACTCATATATAAAAGAAATGCAAAGTGATAGGTAGGGCGTCTCCCGCAGGCAATCCGTTTTCTGCTTGCAGATTGCTGGCGAGAGGTGACACTTTCCTTTTTGCTCCAGGAGCGAGGTTCGCAGAGGCGTCCTAACGCGCCCTCTTCACCTGTGGAGCCCGAGCGACGAGAGAAATTCGCTGGGTGCCCGGCCTGCCAAAGGCGAGTCCGCCCTCCGCCCTGCGTGGAAGAAACGCGCCGGCGGCCGAGGAGCGAGCTCAGGCGGGGCCTGGCGGGCCAGGGCCCCGGGGCGCAGCTCCTGTGGCCCGGGCTGCGAGCTAAACCCTTACACGCTGCGGGTGGGAAATCCAGCGGCTGCCTGGCGCGTGGGGCGCATCTTTTAGAAGAATGTGCCCCTAATCCTCAACCTTCCCACTTGGATGTGAGGTGTGTTCAGAAGGTTTCCAACCGCGGTCTAGAAGGAAAGCAACCTATAGTTCCAAGGGGTGGCACTGCCTCGGGGGATGGGATCACTCTGCAGCCCCTTTCTGGCTTCCTTTGGGTTGAGGGCGAGCGAGGACCTTAGAAGCTCCGCTTTGGCCAGCGACAGAGCCCCTGGACTTCCGCTGCTGCCCACCACCCCGCCTTGGGCCAAAGAGACTGGCTCACGGGCAGTTTGGGCCAGAACGTGCGTGTCTTTCCATTACAGCAATGGCAGCTCCTGCATTTCACCGGGCAGCTGGCTTCATTATTACTGCTCCGTCCTGAGGGTGGTGATTAGTGTGGCAGGAAGGGAGGGGGGAAGAGAGAAGGTGAAGGGGGAAGAGAGAAGGTGAGGGGGGAAGAGAGAGGGTGATGAGTACCTGTTTCCTTTCTATCAGCAGGACTTGGTCTTAGGGAATCTCATCAGGATAGCTCTCAGCTGTCAACGGATTTCCCAAATCTTAAGAATTGCAGATTGCTGGCCAGAGGTGACATTCACTTTTTTTTTTCTTCTTCATCTTATTTGTCCCTCACAACTCTTTAAAAGGATTTCTCCTTTTTGACCCAATAAACAGTCTCAAGGCCTACAGTTAGTCAGTGCATACCTGTATCTCTTTTCAAGAAGTGGTAAGGACCTAAGTTTCCTTTTTAGAAAACCCAAGTAAGATTTCTAAATATCCTCCAGCTACCGGAAGTTGAAATGCAGCTTTCTTCCTGATCTTAAGCGCAGCGTGTGGAGGACGCACCCTCCAACAGCTTCTGGGCCCAGCCATTATTTGGTAAGGAGGTGAGTGAAATGGCTCAGATGGATTTTGGAAATATTTGATCATCAGTGCTAAAGCATATTAAATGTCTGGTGATTAAAACTGGAAAACGATGTGCTCCCAGCAGCGTGGCCTAATCTGATTCACTATTAGCTAGCGGTCTCACGGAAGCACAGCAAGATACATCTCTCCAAGCCCGTCAGATAAAAAGCTTTTTTTCAGATTAAAACTGTGTGGTTCAAAACAAGATCTCCATTTCACACCGCAAGGTAAGCCGACCTGCCACTTTGCTGCAGCAAACTCTGCTTATTTTGGTACATTTACTAAATGAAATTATGACTAACTACATAACATTCAAGATAAGTAAACAAGTCCTAACCTAGTAATCTGATCCATCCTGGCCATTTGTAAATCAACAGCACCTCCTACAGGAATTAATTTGCTAGTATTAAATTATGTTAAGTGTAAGGCCAGGGAAAAGGGGAATGCCCCCCCCCCCAAAAAAAAAAAAAAAGTCTTCGGAGTCTGTTGGTGTATTTCCAGGTCCCTGGACAAGTGTTACCAGGCACAAACCATATTTCTTAAAAGAATTTGTCTGTTGAAAGTAAGAATGACAAACATCATCAGATTTTTCTTTTCTTTTTTTAAAAAAAATATATTTTATTGATTTTGTACAGAGAGGTAGGGAGAGAGATAGAGTTAGAAACATCGGATGAGAAAGTCATCGATCTGCTGCCTCTTGCACACCCCCTATTGGGGATATGCCCACAGCCAAGATACATGCCCTTGACCGGAATCGAACCCGGGACCCTTCAGTCCCCAAGCTGACGCTTTCTATCCATTGAGCCAAACCGATCCCGCTCATCAGATTTTTCAATGTCACTGTTGAGGACTCTTGTTCTTGAATATTCATTATACTTGAAGGATTCCTTTTTGGTTTATAGTATTAGGTGGCGCTCTACACATACAAGTAGACATCTTTTTAAACAATATATTTTTTATTGATTTCAGAGGAAACATCACTAATGAGAATCACTAATTGGATGCCTTCTGCATGCCCCCTACTGGAGGTCGAGCCCGAAACCTGGGTACCTGCTGCCTCACCCCCCCACAGGAATTGAACCTGGGATCCTTCAATCTGCAGGCCGACCTCTATCCATTGAGCCAAACCAGCCAGGGCAAGTAGACATCCTTTATGATGAGGTTAATCTTTAGTTCGACCTCATATTTCAAAAGCAAAAGTAGAATTAGATGTCTAACATTTTTATTTTAAAAATCACTTTCAAATCTTTTTATCCATACCAAGAATATGCAGAAAAGGCAAGCCTCTTCGAAGCTCTTACCTTATATGTGTAATGCCTTTTTTCAGTTTTTCAGTTTGCAAGGTTGATATGCTAGCCCCTTGGGGCTCTCTAGCACCTTTGGGTGACCAAGGCTAAAAGCCAAACAGTAAATCAGTATCTTCCATAAATACATTGGAATTTTTCTCACTATTGGATGGATAAATTGGTAAATCAGTTTATATTTTTCTCAGTCTAACAATGAGGGATAATTAAACCAGAGATTTAAAACAATTCCTCTTATGAAAGTCAAATGAAAAAAGTGTAAAAAATAATGTATTTCTTTAATTCACTTTAAATTACAGGATGAATTTCAACATTTCTCTTCATGAACACTGTATTTCCCTTCAGAAATCCTTTAAGGCAGTAGGTATTGCATAGATTTTGACATTATAAAGTATAAAAAGGCATATGATAGAAAATAATTAGTACACTAATGAATTCAAGATGTAAATTAGCATTTTTATCAATTTCAAATTCATGCTTTCTTTTTTTAAGTGAAGGAAAAGAATCTTTTAGGTGCATTTTAAGTTATTAAAGGATAACTTTAGAAGGAATTCAAGTTCTTCCCCAACCAATTCTCTGAAAAACCTAAATAATCAGACGGTTTCTTACACCTTTAGTTAGTTGCTTCTAAATCAGAGGACATTTGTGTATGATATACAAGACAAATATAACAGACTACAAGGAGTGGTTTCATTTACCTCTTCCTCCAAACTTATTTCTTATAGAATTTACAAAATTATGGCTGCCAATCCTCAAAACCATCTAATTGGTATCTGTATTGTATTACATAACATGTTAAAAATGTGGAACCCTGATAAAAAATACTTGTGTCCAGGATGTATAGCATGTCTATTTTGGAATTGCATGATACATAGTTTTTACTACTTTTTTATTACCAGGTCATTTGAAACATAAAGGAAAAGTTTAAATAAACCTTATATAAAATATAGAAGAATTTACATTGGTCCATTTGTGACATTACATAAATACTTAACCTTTAGAAGTGAATTCTAACAGCTAAACGCCAGTGGTAGAAAGACCACTCGTGGTAGGTAGAATAATGGTCCCTTAAAGGTACATACATCCTAATCCCTGGAACTTGAGAAGATGTTACCATACGTTAAGTAGCGAAGGAGAATTAAGATTGTAAATTGATTTTTAAAATAGGACAATTCTTCTGGTAGACTCATTATAATCACAAGGGCCCATAAAAGAGGGATGAAGAATGTCAAAGTGTCAGAGTAATTATCTGTGACCCTCGACTTGCCTTTATTAGCTTTGAAGATGGAAGAAGGGACCAGGAGTAAAGGAATGCCTCTGGGATAGGGAGCAAACAGGTTTTCTTTCCAGTAGGGCCTCCTGAAAGGACCAACCCTGCTTTTATGTTACTCCACTGAAACCCATTTTAGACTTCTCATCTCCAGAACTGTAGAATGTTTTTGAACTGCTTTAAGTTTGAGGTAATTTGTTATGACAGCATAGAAAATTAATATATCATCCAAATGTAGTTAGTGTACTCTGGAGAACAAAACACATGAGGGAGTTTAAAAGTTTTAAAGAAATACTTAATTCATACTAGTGAATTTCAATAATGTTTACATCTTGCTTCTAGTACATTTAAATTAAAAATTATAATAAATTATACCCATTCAATTGTACTGTCATTCTTTTAATGATATTTCAGAACAAAGACAATGTCACAGAGTTGTGTTTTCTTTTAATCTGGTATAGAGGGCACAAGAAATACTTATCAACAGAAAATATTTTTACAGCTCCAAAATAGATTACTTACAAATATTTGCAAAATTCATTATGAGATTTACGTAGTTTTGTTCTTGATATGACAGTTTACAGAGACTGAAAACTAAAATAGAGCTTTTTTTTTAATTAGAAAGACAAGAGTACATATTAGCCCTTGCTAAAAGTATTTGATAAGTAGAGATATTTTTATTCCCAATTGTCACATGCAGTCTCTATTCTCTCTACTTGTTCACTCTATGTCACTCTGGTATGCTCATCTCCCGAGTTTTCTTTGTGTATTTTTCCTCCTCTGTACATATCTATGCCGTGGCTTCTAGTATCATTTCTTCTATTCCACTCTTTACTGGGACTTTGCTAAGACCGTTTTCTTATTTTCCTTTGCTTGTCACTGCTATGACTTCTGCTCCGGCTTCTCCTGCTCCTCTCATCTCTGCTCCGACTTCTCCTGCTCCTCTCATCTCTGCTCCGGCTTCTCCTCCTCTCATCTCTGCTCCGGCTTCTCCTGCTCCTCTCATCTCTGCTCCGGCTTCTCCTCCTCTCATCTCTGCTCCGACTTCTCCTGCTCCTCTCATCTCTGCTCCGGCTTCTCCTGCTCCTCTCATCTCTGCTCCGGCTTCTCCTCCTCTCACCTCTGCTCTGGCTTCTCCTGCTCCTCTCATCTCTGCTCCGGCTTCTCCTCCTCTCATCTCTGCTCCGGCTTCTCCTGCTCCTCTCATTTCTTTCAGAGCCTCTCTTTTCTGGGCTGTGGTTATGGCTTCTGGACTTTCTGTCAAAATTAGAATGATTCCATTTGCTAGTTTCCCTAGAACTCTCTTGTTTTAAAAATCTAGGCTCTTCCTTGGCTTTCTCCTTATTACAATGATTGCTAGAAAGTTCTTTATAAAATGTTCTCTTCTTAGACTTGTCCTTTTCTCCTATGTCATTTTTATTTCTTGAACATTTGTTTTTCTTTCTTTTCTTCTTTTGTATTTTTTTTTCTTTGTTGTCACTCTCACTACCACTTTCTGAAGTCTCAGTGGAGGAGGAAGAGGAAGAAGAGGAAGAGGAGGAAGAGGAAGAGGAGGATGATGAAGAGGAGGAGGAGGAAGAGGAAGATTTGTGTTTATGTTTTTTGTGTTTATTTCTACTCTTCTGAAGCTTTTTCTTTTTTCTATCTTTTTTCTTATTCTTTTTTTTCTTTTCAAGTCGATCCAATTTCCTGTTATTGGAAAAAAAAGTAAGAGACTAAAAATAGTCCTTTTATTGACAAACAAAATTTTGAAAGACAATATATTTCCTTAGAAGCTATTGAAAGAGGTATTCAAATATAAACACATACTTTATTAAATGACAAATTATTTTCTTCCTCTAAAATTATTCATATTAAATGTAAATAAAAATTAAATGCATAAAGATAATTCTCTATTAAAAAAATCCCTATTGAATCAGAATTTGAAATGATATAGCACTCTAAATAAATGGTTATCTTGATTTAAAGATTTGTAACATTCATTAATTGGACCTACTACAAATTCAAATATATAACTATAATCAAGAAAAGTAATTTTATGTATGTACTATTTTAAATTATGGGAATATTAATCAATATTACTTATAAAAATTCAAAGGCATATTCTCCAGAAATTCTGAGTAATAATACACTTTACATTTTTTATACTGTTTTTTGGTTATATAAAACAAAATAATCACATACTGGTTTTCAACAATGTTTAGATTTATAAATTAGAAAAATTCTATTAAGGCATTCTGAATTTCTAAAGAGTATTTCACATTCTCAGAAGAGTAACTTGTTTATATGATATGTTTAAGTTATTCTGGAATAAAAACATCTTTCACTGGGTTTTGTCTAACCATTCTCAAAACCCCACATCATGAGCTCCCTCTATTGGACTCAATAGACATTTCTTGGATTTTTTTAATCCAAAGGTAGTATGTTTAACAAGATTCAAATTTACCTTAAATTTAAGCATTTGTCAGCATTCCTCATAAAATCTTACAAAATATAAAAGAGCAATACATGGCTCAGAATATTTTCTAAGAATAAATGCAAAGATACATATACAAATTTACTATACCAAGTAAATCCTAGAAATAAATCTATTTCCAAATTAAGTATTCTGAAAAGTGCTATTTTTTTTGTGTGGTGTAATCTGGGTATATAATCTTAGATTCATTTTTATATTACTGAAAGACAAAACTGTATTACTATAGCTGAAGAATAAATTATTAAATAAATGTGATACATTGGCTTAAGTACCTTCATGAGCTCTTAGGATCAGAGTTGAATATGATACTAAGATGGAGCACACAAAAAATGTTAGAGAATTTATTAAACGTGTATTTTTTCATTACCTGAGAAGTTTCTGTTTTTGTTTGGTTGTTAGTGACTTTAAAAATTCAACTTCTGGATCTTCTTCACCCTCACTTGCAACATATTCCTGAGGCAACAAAGATCATTACATTGCTAGATTATAAAACAAGTTATCATTCAGGAAAGAAAATATTTATAAATAAGAAATTTTGTATTAGAGACATACTGTGGATGAATGTAACATTTTGAAGTGTAAAGTGTGTGTGTGTGTGTGTATGTGTGTGGGGGAAATGTAAATTAAAGAGTATCATTACACACTAAGAGGGTAAGATGACAGCTTTGCCGGCACTAACAAACTTTAATCAGGAAGAGTATGATAGAGAAACAGATAAAATGTTTCTGTCTCTTGAGTTTGAATTTAAATACTTGAGGGTTTAAATGTTTTATTTTAAATTTAATGAAATATTAAAACCAAGAAGATCATTAACTTTTGGGGAAGATGAAAACCTCCACAATTTTAGCCTTTATAATTTCAATAGTACATTATCAAATATATGACTAGCAAATTCATATAAAAATGTATCAAACAGTACAAATATATGATTATATAGGTTATATGAATAATCCCTAGTAATGTTTGAAAAGTGATGTGCCTCTTTTCAGAGCAGAACAAGTTTGCGCCAGTGGGAGTCTGGGTTTTAGTCTTAGGTCTGTCTCAGAACAGCCACCTGACCTCAGGGAAATCACTTAACTTCCCTGGGTCCAGTTTCCTGATTAAATAAAATAAATGGTTTGCATTAGGGTATCTACATCGCTTTGCATGCCACCATTTTCTGGATCTGTGTACTGTTTATAAATTAATGTTTAAAGTATTTCCTGTACTTTTTAGGAGTTTTCTTTTATACATTTCTTCCCATTGGTTCTATTTATGTCACTTCAGTGGTAAGTTAGCACGAAGGAAAAGTAACCACCTCATCACCAGTTCAGTTAATATTTCATCCACTTAAACCCAGAGAAGCAGTTTCATTTATTAAAATATAGGTTCAAAAACAATTTCTCATTTAAGTTAAAATAATAAAGAAGCAAAATCAAAATATACTTAGGCATTTTCTTTGCTCTATCTTGCTCTCCCATGGGTATATGCATATTGGAAAACATGAAGTAGCAATTCACAAGCAATCACATTTAGATTTTTAGACATTTTCAGCTTACTGATAAAAAGATCATTACCTGTGATGGATCATTTGCGGTCAAGTTTCTCCCCAGTACATTTCGTTTCAGTGCAAATCCACTGTTTCTCATCTCCGCTATTAGCTCCGAGGGGTGCATCGATGGTCCTGTTCACAAAAATCACAGTTTGAATGTATCATTTATATCTCTCTACCTTCTTCGGACTCCACAGTAGGAATGCAGTTGAAGCTTTGTTAAGTAAAATCACAGCTAAATCAACTCAATAATCTTCTGCTGAGCAAATAATCAGATATGATTTTCTAAAACAGCAGTCTGGAGATTCAGAATAGAAAATAATTGCATTTTTCTTTACGTGCTAGGGATTCTCTTCTTGTGTAACTTTGTCATATTGAAAAAGATACATTTAGATGTTATCTGTTTGGCAGTTTCCAGTATGAAATAAAAGTAAAATGATAAAAAAAAAAAAAAAGGCCATTGAACTTATAATAGTTATTATTTTAGTAAGAACTCAATTTAAAAAAGACACTTAAAGGCACATGAGCAATTTATTATTCTAGTTTCCAATTCCTAATTCCTCTCCCTTATTTATCAGCTATCAATACTGAGTTACAATATCACGTGGTTGTTAATTATCAGCACATGCTATCGATATGGTTTCTATAAGTACTTCGGTTAATCGTGTGTGTGTGTATGTGTGTGTGTGTGTGTGTGTGTGTGTGTGTGTGTGTGTGTGTGTGTATGTGTATACACACCTCCAGAGTTTGAAATATTAGTGTCATGTTGATGAAAAGCAATTTTAGGCTGGCTATAGGTTTATGTGTTATATTTTTCACAAGCTGCTATTTCCACATTTGCAAAATCCGAAACTGAAAAGTGAGCTGTTTTTTGGTCACATAATATATACTAAAAATAAGTAACATAGAATCCTATATAATAAAACCCTAATATGCAAATCAACTGAATGGCAGAATGACCAGTTGCTATGATGCACACTGACCACTAGGGGGCAGACGCTCAACGCAGGAGCTGCCCTCTGGTGGTCAGTGTGCTCCCACAGGGGGAACGCTGCTCAGTCAGAAGCCGGGTTCACTGCTGGTGAGTGCACGGCAGTGGTGGGAGCCTCTCCTTCCTCTGCAGCAGCGCTGAGGACCCCTCGGGGGATGTCCAACTAATGTGGAGAGCCTAAGCTGGCAGGTGGACGTCCCCCAAGGGCTCCAAGACTGCAAGAGAGTGCAGGCTGGTCTGAGGAACACCCCCCCCCCCCATTCAGTGCATGAATTTCATGATCCAAGCCTCTAATAAAGATATAATTAAAAATTGTTTAACACCCGAGCCCTTCCCTCAAACATTATTAGGTAGAATAGACATTTTCCTCTTTATTTTGTATATTCCACTTTCATTTTGTTTTCCCTGAAGGTAATAAATAATGATGACAGTTTATGGAAGCTATTAACATTTCTGAATAAATCATCTAGACTGGTTTAAATGAACTACACTGGGTGATGTGTCTGGAATATAAGGAAGAGTAAGACAATTCCTGCCAATAAGAAATTTATAAGGGATGTGAGAGATAAACATTCAGAAACTTATTCTCTAGTTCGATTAAGAACTTCATCTTTCTTTCTCTTTATTGCTTTAACTGTTCACCTATATGTTACCATAGAAAAACAAAAAGCAACACAATTCAAATCTGTTCACTTCTCAGTAGCATCTTTGGTAAAAGTTTGGTCAAAGAGTTCAGGTGTAAATTAATATCTTTTATTGGACTTTATGGGCTTTTATTACTTTAGTCATGTTACCAAAAACAATGGAAAGTTGGCTTTAGTTATTAGGCAGAAAATAGGAAAAAAAATACCTATTATTGGAGAATGGGAAGTTAATAATGTGATGCTTTAACTTATTGGGGAAAAAAACCCTTACTTAGTTGAAAACAAAACAAACCAAAACATCATAAAGCAGCATCTTATTTCATGAATATTTTTCATTAATATTAATATTTTAAAACAATGTAGGATTTTATCTTTTTTCCTTTTATATAAGATATTTAATTTCTATGGATTACTTTAATAACCCTTTAATTAATTATTCAATTTGGTTGATAATATTGATAATAAAACCTTAGGTAAAAGTTGAATTTTAATATTAATACTGGTTGCTGTCAAATGGTATAAAAGTGCTAATACAATCAATAGCTTTAAATTAATGTTCACTTTGGTGGCTTTTCAAATTTTACATGAAGAAACCATTTTATAAAGTAGAAAATATCTTTTCTGAATTGTCAAAACTACATTTGTCAACTGTTTCAAATGAACTCAGAAAACAAACATGCTAAGAATTAGGATAGAAATCACTCCAGTAAAGGGCTAACGAAAATGGCTATTATGATTAGAGGTTACTCATTTCACCAAAAGATGAGTAACTTTAATAAAATGTTTTAGAAAACATGTTCTTTTTACATTTTCAATGACTTCAAGAAAATGATCTCTTTCTGCAGTCTGACAGAGAGTATATAGATTATGAGAAACATTGCTCTTCCAGCATTTATATTTCTCAATTGAACTCTGTGTAGTACATATGCTTAGCATACATTTCCAAATTCATGCACTGGGCCCCTAGTTCTCAAAATAAATATAGGGTGTCCTAAAAATGCATACACACTTTGATCATTATTAATTCCAATAGGTTAAATCTGAAAAGAAAGAAACATCAGTTGAGTTATCAGAAAAAAGTGTGTATACATTTTTGAGAACACCCTGTAGTTTTTTGTTTTGTTTTGTTTTGTTTTTGTTAATATATTTTATTATTTTACAGAGAGGAAGAGAGAGGGATAGAGAGTTAGAAACATCGATGAGAGAGAAACATCGATCAGCTGCCAGGGTACATGCCCTTGACTGGAATTGAACCTGGGACCTTTCAGGCTGATGCTCTATCTGCTGAGCCATCTTCTATCCACTGAGCCAAACGGGTTTCAGCCACCTTGTATAGTTTTGTTTACTGTTATAGCGGTAAACAATTTTTTCCCTTCTCATTGTGTGTGTATTATGGAAAATTTCCAATCTAGGGAGAATAATGTAACAAACCTTATGTATTCATCAAACAGTTTCAATAATTATCAATATTATGTCACTCTTGTTTTATCTATTAACTCCAAGTTTCTTTGTTTCTTTTTTGATATTTTAAATAAATCTCAGAGATATAAATCACTAACAAATAATTATTTCTTAAAAATAAAACCCCAAAACTTTCATCACACCTATGAATACAGTTTTAAGACACCATCTAACATTCTGTCAATCTGCAGATTTCCCTGGTAGTCTCAAAATTGTCTGTCCAAATTAGAATCCAAACAAAGTCCATACATTACATTTGTTTTATATATCTCTTAAGTCTCTCTCTTTTTTGACTGACGTATAACTGATACATACCTTGCGTCTCTTTTAATCTAAAACAAATTTAGCAACCTCTCCTCCATTACCACTATTCACTTGTTGCAGAAACTCAAGTCATTTGTCCTGTAGAATTTCACACATTCTGAACAGTGACACAACTTAATATGTTCTTCTAGCCCTTGTATTTCCTATAAATTTTTAGTTAGATCTAGAGACTTATTATTAAACTAAAGGCCCACTGGACGAAGATTGTGCAATAGGCCTTCCTTCCCCTGGCTGCGGGCACCTGGGATCCAGGCCTTCACTCCAGCCTCAGCGGAGAGGCCAAGACTTGAGGCTTGGCTTCTATGCTCTGGTTAAAGCGGAGAAGCCAAGCCTCTGCAGTTTTCAGTCTATTTTATTTTATTTTATTTTATTTTAATTGATTTTTTACAGAGAGGAAGGGAGATAGAGAGCCAGAAACATTGATGAGAGAGACATCGTCCAGCTGCCTCTTGCACAGTCCCCACTGGGGATGTGCCCACAGCCAATGTACATGCCCTTGACTGGAATCGAACCTGGGACCTTTCAGTCCGCAGGCCGATGCTCTATCCACTGAGCCAAATCGGTTTCGGCTTGTCTTCAGTCTTCAGTCCTCGCTTGGGCTGGAGCCATCAGTCTTTGCTCTGCACCTGCATATGCAAATTAACCCGCCATTTTTGTTGGGTCGATTTGCATACCCATTCATGATTGGCTGGTGGGTGTCATGGAGATATGGTCAATTTGCATATTCCTCTTTTATTAGTGTAGAGACCAGAGATCTGGTGCATGAAATTCGTGCACTGGAGGGGGGTGTCCCTCAGCCCGGCCTGCACCCTCTCCAATCTGAGACCCCTCGGGGGATGTCTGACTGCCGGTTTAGAATCAATCCGCGCAGAATCAGGCTTAAACCAGCAGTCGAACATCTCTCTCACAATCTTGGACTGCTTGCTTCCAACTGCTCGCATTCCTGCCTGCCTGCTTGATTGCCCTTAACCACTTCTGCTTGCCAGCCTGATCGTCCCCTAACTGCTCCCCTGCTGGCCTGATTGATACCTAACTGCTCCTCTGCCAGCCTGATCACCCACAACTTCCCTCCCTTGCCTTGACCCACCTCTTCCGCTGGGCCCCACATTTGCTGTGCATGTGGCCATCTTGTGACAACATTGTGCATTAAAGCGTGAGGACCACCTAGGCTTTTTAAAAAAATATATATTATATTGCTTTTTTTACAGAGAGGAAGGGAGAGGGATAGAGAGTTAGAAACATCAATGAGAGAGAAACATCAATCAGCTGCCTCCTGCACACCTCCCACTAGGGAGATGCCCATAATCAAGATACATGTCCTTGACCGGAATCAAACCTGGGACCCTTCAGTCTGCAGGCTGATGCTCTATCCACTGAGCCAAACCGGTCAGAGCCACCTAGGCTTTTATTAGTATAGATTATTTTAGTACATTATAACACACATTTTGGGGGAGTACATGAAGTCTAACGAAGTATGAATTTAAGAAATGATACCTGAAAACATACACATTTCTGGCTCTTGAACTAGACTAAGGAAAACAGGTTGAGTCTTCAACCTGGTGTGTTCCTGCTCTCACCATATATCTACAATAGTCATAGCAACAGCAGTATATCCCTAAAAATATGTGTGTTTTAAAAGAACCCCCTCAACTTTATAACAAATAAAATATATTATGATTCTCATTTCCATGAAAGTACCATCTTCTTTTCTA